GTCCAGATCCTATGGGCGCAAGGCAGGCAACAACCCAGCATGGGGTGCCAACCCATTGCAGGGCGCACTCACACATACAGGCACACTTACGGGCAATTTGGTACCTTAATCTCAGCATGTTTTTGGACTGTGTGGGGGGGGAAACCAGAATACCCAGAGGAAATCCCATGGCAACACTGGGAGAACATGCAAACTCCACGGCCCTGGCAAAGACTCGAACTCAGGTGTGAGGCAACAGTGCTAACCACTGCACCACCGTACCACCAATTAACATTCAAAATAATTTTAAATACTGAAGCATGCGATTTGAGACTCAGCAGGCTATACAGTGGAAAAGTAAGGAAAGAACAGCTGTGAATGGGCTGGTCACGTCACTTCAAATGTACAAAAAATACAAAAAGTAATAAAGTAGAGTGGTACCTCAGTTCTCGAAGTCATTAGAACTTGAATTTCTTAAAAGTCGAACCAACCAGTTCGAAAAAAGATTACCTAGAGCTCGATCTGAATCTCAGAAGTCAAACTGTGAACGCCGACCTAAGATAACTTGTAGGAGCGGGGAAATGAGTCACGCAGCACCTCTCTCAGCGGAAACAAAGGGTAACGCTTCAGTCTCAGCCTCACATTAGCTGTGATAGCACCGTGCATGTTTACACTAACTAAATACATATATTTAGACAGTAAAAATACATTTAGACAATGATAGACAGTAACAGTAATTATTATTATATAATAAAATACATTTTTAAATAAAGATTTCTTATTCATTATTTTAATATTAATAATAAACCATTAATACGTTTAATTATAATAATAATGTCGTGCCGAGCGGGGACGGAACGGAGACAAAGGCGCAGACATCAGGGTATTGGGGAATACGGGGTTTAATTACAGGTAAGGCAGGCAAAACGAAGACGGACAATACAATGACCAGACTGGGGAAACAAACTTAAACGCGGACGAAATATAGAGGACTAATGACAATAACCAGAAACAGCTGATCACACGGGGATTCCACACGGGGTTAATGAGGGGGCGTGGCACACAAAATGTTTGGATCATAGCTGTCAAGTCTCCCGTTTTGGCCGGGAAACTACCGTATTTTACCCCTCTTTCCCGCTGTCCTCCCGTATTAGTATTTTCCCGTAAATCTCCCGTATTATAATATCATTTAAAAAAAATTCCTCTGCCTCTCCAAACTGAACTGTCAGTAGCCTCGCGAGAACTGCCACCTGCAGTAGTCTGCAGGTCATTTACAACATTAACCAGGTCATAAATGCAGAGGATAAAATGGCAATGCTGAGTGCCAAAAACAACGTTACTTTCACCTTCTGTGACGACTTCAACAAGGATACAAAGTCTGCAACAAATCTGTATAAGTCATTAGTGAATGCCAGAGAGCCACATGAGTGAACATGAGAAATTAAAAGAAAATGTGTAATGAAAATAAAATGTAAATGACAAGTGGTTATTTTAGATTTCTTGTACACCTGTCTTAAAATGTAAGGGATACTGGAGCTTGGTTGGGGTGGTGGGGTGGCTCGCGGTGGGTGGCGGAAAATTTCCCTTATTTTCAAATCCAAAACTTGACAGGTATGGTTTGGATACATTTATTTTCTTACTTTACAAATGACTGTTTTGATAAATGTGCTTTGATGTGTTTAGTACAGTATATGCTCTTCTTGTTTTATCCGGTTCATTTTGTGTTTAAATGCTAAAAAAAATATATAATTTTTTTGGGGCCAGGAACCAATTAATTGGCTTTCCATTATTTCTTATGGGGAAAATTCGATCACATTTCGAACTTTTTAAGATTCGATCCGGAGTTCTGAACAGAGTTCTGAGGTACCACTGTAATAGTAAATAAGTACTTAAGGAATTAAGGAAATAATTTTTAAAAAATGCAAAAGAAACTATATAAAAATTTATGGTAGGCTACCTACCTAGCACTCAATACAAAAGTTCAGCTTAACCAATTGATTCTTGCCACAATCAGCCAACAGAGTTTTCTGTGTAAACAGCCCCGTTCACACTGCTGTTTGTTTTAGGCACCAGCATCAGGTGAGCTACATGTTGTGTGGTTATGCTTAAATTGTCGGACCTTGCTGAGCTAAGGTCAGTACTAAGCAGACAGTGAGGTCCATGGTAATAAAGTGACCTGCTGACCCAGTTGTTACCTTTTCTGCTATAGTGCTATAGGAGCTGCGTGTGGCTCAATGATTAGGTCTTTGTGGCCCGACTGGAAGGTCGTCGACTTGAGCCCCGGCCTTGGCAGAATAGTCAAGTCCCCGTTAGGCCCGTGAATAAAGCCTTTAACCCCCCCCCCCCCCAAAATGCTGCAAGGACGCCGGCTAAAAAGCCTGACCCTGCAATAAGAGTCCAAGCTTTGCTCTCGACTGTATATATGTGCATGTATGTCTAAAAGTACAGCAAGATGGGATGTGTGAAAAATAAGCTTTCCAATGTACTAACTTTGAAGATCATTTTTATAATGCAATTACTACAGCTGTGTAAATGAATGCCATTTCAAATCACTTACGAAAAAAAACTCAGCCTTTTGCAGTTGATTAGTAAAGATCAATGTGAGCGGGATTAAATTCTTTGTAAACACAGGCCTGCTTCAGTTCTTTTGACATATTTATTAAAAACACGGCAACACGAGCGTGGCTGGCTATTGTCTTGCCTTTTTTTTTTTTTAAAGAGGTTTTTCATGGTGGAGGCCAGGTCACTCGCTCCTAGGCAGTGTCCACCCCCTAACCCCCAAAGGTCATTTACATTCAGACTGTCCTCTCCATTACCCCCCACCCCCCCAGCATCGACCCAGATCATCCAGCCCTGCCTGCCTCACAGCCTCCAACTGTCCTGGGGAAAGACAGCTTGCTGACGCCTGTGCCCATGAGAAATTGGGGGGTGGCGGTTTGGAGATCTCCAACAGAGATGATGGAGCTGAATGCGTGAGGAGCAGAGAGCAGTGGGGAGAGCTGGCTGCCCTGGACAATACGCTCCAGGCTGGGGTCTCATGGAGTCTCACCAAGCATTGGCAGCTGGCAAAACAAAGGAAATCAGATCTCTCCCTGTTAAACGCCCCGCGAACACTGTCTGTCCTTCTGAACCTCATTCCCTCCCCCTCCCCAGCACAGGCGTTAAAAAAAAAAGTGATAAAGAGAAAAGCCCCTCCCCCCAGCTCTCCATGGGAGGTGCCAACACACATATTCCAGCAGGTGCTGGTCCGGTAGGCTAACCGAGCTCCTAATTGGACACTACGAGCTACAGCTGCCCCCTCCCCCCAGAACTCAGTGCTGGCTGTTATTACCCCCTCATCCACCTGTGCTCCCACGACACTGCTTACGGCATCAGTCTGTAACCAGGAAGATCCCACCAACCTCGCCCCCCCCCAAGGAGGGAAGCCCAAGCAGCCTCAGATAATGCAGGCCCACTGTAATCAGCCCAAATATGCAAGCCAATCAGCCTTAGACAGTCAAAGCAACACCTCTCTGTACATCTCCACTGACGTTCAGTATCAGATGATCATCACTGTTATTAATATGGAGGTACTCAATTGGTACATGAATAAAAAACCTACACATCTGAGACGGAATTGTCAGAAGAATTTAGATCATGTGCAGCAAAGCACTGAGGCAGACGGTCTGCCCTTAACAACCGTGCCACCGGCTGCCCTACTTGCCAGTGAGGGGTGATCATCTCCACCAATCATCTCGAGCTAACGGCAGGTCCATGACGTGGTATTAAGAAGCTCCGCCTCCATAAAATCTCCCTGCATCTTTTCAGGTTGCACTGCAATTAGTTTTGTTTTTCTACAAGAAACATGGTATGATAACTAATACCCGGAAACATCCATCTGTCCATCCATTTTCTATACCCAGCGGTCCCATGCAGAGTTTCAGGGGTCCTATAACAATAAAAAACTGTTTTCTAAACCCTTTTTCCCTTAGAAATGAACTATTATTCTGCAAATTGCTGATGTCATATAAAGGCATTCAAACAACTGTTCTGTAAAACTAAAATATTAATCTCATTAACATGTAAAATGTTATCTTATAGAAAATGTATCCTGTCCACATGGCAATCTTGTCAGCCTAACTGTCATTCCTAAACTAAAATAATTCATAATTAAATTGAATGCAGACAGAAAACATGGTCACCCGGTGCTGCAGCAATTACAGTTTCACAATGAGTAGAACTGCAAGACAACAACTGCTGTGATTAATAAGGCAAATAACAAATTAAGTTCATGTGTTATAAAAACATTTTACTGAGACAATCAACCACATGGCCTCCAGGGCACAGGGATGTCAGTCACCTTCATTATAACTGCAAACATCAGATGAGATTCGTTGAACCACAGGGCTTTACCCAGAAGTCCTTCTGCGGGCTACACTGTAATGCACTTTTTAATTTTAATATGGAGCACATGGAGATGGATGATAAGGGAGTAATTTGAAACTGGCAATATAACCACAAGGACACATTTGCCAGTACTGCTTCATTAATCACATCTTGTTACCTCAGTTATTTAACTGCTGCTCATTAAACGAAAGCCTTCACATGGAGGTTTCAAGGCAGGCACCATGGTTATAAATTGTACTAAGGGAGACGATAAAATCAGTACACAGCTTTACAGTATGACTGCAGCCGTGCTCATATCTCACAGACCATAAGTGGTGTCTGAGATTTTTTATCACCTAACAGGAAGTAACAGCGGTGATGCTACAGTTTCATGAGACTAGCTGCCTGCATGCTCTCAAAACACACACACACACACACACAGAATGGCAATCAGTTTTCACTGACTTCAGCTAAGCAACCCTGCAGGACCCTTTCCTACAACCCCTGCAGTATGAACCTCTCTTACCATTAAAGGGTGATAATTCACGAAATTACTATAAAAACACCTCAAATTCTGCATGATCTATACCATGACCATGATAAAATCTCAACATCAGCACTTAGACGCAAAAACATTCAGCAGATGGTGATCTTACCTGACACAGAGATTCTCATGGTGGCCTCCAGGGGACGGTTGTTGTCCAACGCGCTGCTGAGCTGAATCTCACCCGTACTCTGGTTGAGGATGACCAAATTCAGCTCATTTCCTGTTTCAAAACGGTATTGAAGCAGGTCTGAAACATCTGGATCATGCGCTGGGATGCGTCCAATTACCCCAGTTGGAAAGCTGCTGGACTTGTTGGTAACATAGTTGTTGAAGACTATTTGAAAGTTCTTGAGCACTGGCAGATTGTCATTCTTGTCGATCAACTTGACACGTACTGTGGCCCGACTCACAAGAGGGGCAGAGGTGGCCTGCACCACAATGATGTACTCAGAGCGAGTCTCATAGTCTAAATCCATCAGGGCTGTCAGCTCCCCAGAAAAGATATCTAGTTGAAAGACCTCGGGGATGTTGCCCTCTACAATCTGATACATGATCTGGGCATTGCTCCCCTCATCCGGATCAGAGGCAGTTATCCGTGAAACCACTAAGCCAATGGGACTGTTTTCTTCCACAAAAATATCAAAATCATCCTTCTCAAACACTGGTGGGTTGTCATTGACATCCAGGACACTCACCTGAATGTCCACCACTGTTTTCAGTGCAGGGAGACCTTTGTCCACTGCAAAGGCACGGAGGTTGTATGCTGGCACATTCTCACGATCCAACCGACGCAGAGTACGTACAATCCCTGATGTTGACTCGATGATGAAGTCACCATCACCATCTTCCCCACCTTGGAAAGTATAGAAGATGCGCCCATTCAGCCCAGAGTCCTGATCTGTGGCAGAGACCTGCACCACACTGGTGAAGGCAGGAACGTCTTCCATCACTGATCCCTGGTACTGGTCTCTAAGAAACCGAGGAGCATTGTCATTTACATCATTGACCAAAATCTCTAGGTATGTTGTATCCGACTTTTGCGGAATACCATTATCGCGAGCTGTGATGGCAAGTGTATAGGAGACCTGGTCCTCATAGTCCAGATCCATCTTTGTTGTGACAGCACCAGTGTCAGGGTCAATGTCAAACTGTGGGATGCTGTCCTCCATGTAGTAAGTGATGCGGGAGTTTTCGCCTGTGTCCTCATCTGTGGCGCTGATGACCACAACTGTGGTGCCAATCGGTCGGTCCTCGTTGATGTTGACAGTGTAATGGGAGCTCTGGAATACAGGCCTATGTGTATTGGCATCGGTGACATTGACAAACACCTGGGCAGTGTCAAGGCGCGTGCCATCAGAGGCTGTAACTACTAGGACGTACTGCCGCTCCAGTTTATAGTCCAGAGGTAGTGCCAGAGTGATTAGGCCACCACCACTCTGGCTGGTGATGGAGAAGCGATTGCGTGTGTTGCCACTGGAGATCTGATATGTCACCACACTGTTGATGTCCCTGTCTACCGCTGACACTGTGACTACACTAGTTCCCACTGCTGCATCCTCATTCAGCCGCATATAATAGAACTTTTGAGTAAATTCAGGGTTGTTGTCATTCACATCTAGAATGGTCATGCTCACACTCGCAGTAGAGGTCATGGGGGGGGAGCCATGATCACAAGCCTCTACCCCAAAGTTATAGAAGTCAACAGTTTCTCGATCAAGCTCAGCTGCCACCACAATCCAGCCAGTATTGTTGTTGATGGAGAATGGGAAACCAGGTGCTGTCTCGATAAGCCGATATTCCAGCCTTGAGTTCTCTCCCGAGTCAGCATCAATGGCCTGAATGTGGATGACAGAATAGCCTAGAGGCACATTTTCTAGGACAGTGGCTTGAAAGGGGGTGCTGACGAAAATAGGAGCATTATCGTTGACATCCAGCACCTGCACAGTAACAAGGCCACTAATGTTAGAGAGGGGTGGTCGGCCGCCATCCTGCGCCCTGATGCGAAGCGTGTACTCCTTGTTTGCCTCGTAGTCCAGCTGGCTGACTAAGTCCATCTTACCGGTCTGTGCATCAATGTAGAACTGGCCCCGGGTGTTTCCGCTCATGATGCTAAAGTGCACCACCGCATTGTTGCCACGGTCTCGGTCTGTGGCGGTCACCTGTAGGATGTGAGAGTTGGGTGGCATGTTCTCAGGCACCTGCACTACATAGCGCTTCTCGCTGAACTGTGGGGCATTGTCATTGTCATCTTCCACTGAGATGTAGACGGTAGCTGTGGAGCTACGAGGCCCTGGGTCACGACCCTGGTCGTTGGCCTCCACCAACAACATGTAGGAATCTATCTCCTCCCGATCTACTGGTCCCTTGGTACGAATCACCCCGGACCTGGAGTCGATCTCAAACACACCATTGGAGCTGTTGTTATTGAGGATATTGTAAAGGATGTTGGCGTTGGCTGGGGCATCTCCATCAGTTGCCCGCACAGTGAGGACCTCGTACCCCACCTCCAGGTTTTCCCGCACACTCTCCTTGTAATCCTGCTGCTCGAAAACAGGGTCATGGTCATTTGTGTCGCTCACAGTGACTGTGAGGGTCGCCATGGCTGTGCGCCGTGGTGTGCCGTGATCCATTGCTGTCACCCGGAACACGTGCGTTGACTTTGTCTCTCGGTCCAGCTCTTCAGCCGTGGTCACAGCACCAGTGACAGAATCCACTGCAAACAAACTGTTGGAGCGGCTATCGAATAGTGCATCGATAAAATACTCCAGCCTACCAGCTTCCCCCTCATCAATATCTACAGCTTTCAGCACCACAACAGGTGTCCCATTTGGCCTGTTCTCAGGTACAGATACCTGGTACATGGGCGGCTGGAACTGGGGGCTTGTGTTAACATTCCTTTTCCTGCGGTTTGCTATGCCTGCAGTTGAATGTGCAGCCTTCTGAAGGACCCTCTTTAAGTGGTCCTGCTCAAATGACCCAATACCTATTCGCCAGTGCACAGACACTGGGTCTCCCTGAACAGCTCCGCTCAGTTCCTCAATGCTAAGGCACAACCCCGCGGATGAACAGCTCCGGCAACGCAAATCCATCTCACGCAGTTTTCCAAGTTTCAAGCAGAACCGCTTAGAAGCCACCAGCCTCTGTCCCGAGAAGTGCAATTCGGGAACGCCGGATTTGCGGCATTGGAAACCGCCGCGAACCTTAGAGGTGGGCAGGAGATCCCGTATTCGAAACAGAGGAATTTCAGATTCGTAACACCTAGGCTGGTGATTGTGTACATCCAGTAGGCTGATTATATCTACATCGCGCTGCGCCTTTTTCCCACGCTTACTGCGACAATCGGCGCCGTGTACGTGAACGTCGTAGCGGCTGGTTATCAGGTGCCTGAATCCAGGGATAGATGCGTCTGTGCAGTCCACGGTAGTGTAAATTGTAAAGGGGTTAGAAGGGATACCGCTACAGTCTAATGCCTCCGAAACCATCACGGTGCCTGCCACCCCATCGATCCGTAAGAAGGTCCGCGTAAATTTAGGGGAAACCACTTGGTCCAGGGTGCAATTCCTACTCAGCTTTGTGATTGCAATTATGGTTCCAGGTTGCACATCCTCGCCGATGTGCACGTTGTAGCTTTCCGACAAAGCAACGAGTTTCAGTAGCCCGGTAACAACAAGCAGTACGTACCCCTTAGTGAAGATCATCTCCGCTGAACACAGTTCCCTCATGTCTCCTTCGCTTGCCGTATATTTATCGTGTCCGTCCCTCAAACTTTCCTTCGAGTCCGTCTCTTCTGGTGGGTTAAATCCATGCTTTCACTGTTGCCCAGAAGAGTTTAATTCGCCCGGTTATGCTTTGCACTCCTCCGCTGTTTGTGAATGACTTGTACAAAATGGCTCCTACTACTCCCGTGCCTTGTGGGCTTCTCATTACCATAAACCTGACTCAATACAACAGAAGAAAGAAAAGAGAGTGCATGATTGTCCCGCAACAGCACGATCGGATTGAGGTCAGACAGTGAAAGAGCGGTCCGATCGGCGCTGCTGGGGAAAAACCACCCGTTTAAGACCCATTTGAAAGAGCTGGAAGCCGCTTCTGTGACACTCAAGCAGGCAGAGCGCGACTCTGTACCTGAATTTTAAGCCGTGACGCGTTTGTAACATTTTATTTCGTTAATGAGTTGGATTATGTCCAGTAGAAACACAGTATCCTTTCAAAAACTGTACGTTTACAACTCAAAAAGTGCATGTTATGTCCATCATATATTTAACAGACTTACATTTAAATCACTCATGACTACAGTTAGTGGACAGGAATTAACTTAGTCTAAAGAAGTTGATCGTAAATTTGGTATTTGTAATGATTCAGCAAATAAATACCAATTTCATCAATACGGATTTAGGAGTAATATCTTTCCCGTATGTTTACAATCTTGCTAGATAAAACCAGATATAACAAGAGTCATTTCAATACTTTAACTCTCACTATTGACTAACCTTGATTACTGTTGATCACCCAAACCGATTACTGTTACATTAATATCTATTTAGCTATCATGAATTTTGGTATGAAAACATTTGGATAGCTGCCTCTTGCTTGTACCTTGACATCCGGACACATTTGTTTCATTTGTGTATTTTATGCTTTCTATATGAATAACATAAGATCCAGCATCTATATCTATCTGCATGAATAGGAAAATGTGTACGCATGTATCCGTAAAGGTCAATGAAATTAATACTAATATATCTTGTCGGTCTATAAAAGAAGCATCTTCTGTTAACATGTTTCGTTGACACCTCTATATACATTACTTTAAACCAGTAATTCTACAGCATGACTTATTGAAATTAACTTTAAAAAAACAGAATCCGTTTTGACGGACCTGGTTTAAAATATCGAATACCTTTAAAACAGTTGAGCAGCGTGTTGATTTTTTTTTTTGACCCATTTTGGAGGTGATACACAATAAAGTTGCTTATTTAAACTAGGGACAAATTTTATGGATGCAGAGCTGGAGATTATGTGACAAAAATAACAGTGAATTCTTTGTGTGTCTTCCGTGTACCGCCTGCTTTTCCATGGGTATACTGTAGCTAGTATACGCGCTTTTTCAGAGAGCTTCTTTGATATTTTTGAGCCCAAGGGAAGAAGAAGTAGGGCCCATGGAAACGGCAGAGAGTGAATTACTTGTTAGAGTGAACTGTGCTGCTACGAGTGAGTTAAGTGAGGATAGAGGGGTGTGGTTGTAACGGACAGCTACTAGCAGCAGTATTTATCATAGCTAATGCCAGCTTTTATGATAGTTTATGTTCTGTGTGTGAATCTGCATGTCAGTAAAAATGTGAAAAGAGTAACTGCTTGCATTAAGTTTATAACAAATGGTACTGCTATCATTGATGTTATGGTGCTTCTGCTTCAGTATGAAGTTAAGCTGAAGCTCCCTTTGTCGAAGCAGAAGAGCACTGCCCATATGTCCATTGCAGGGAGACTGGTTAGATACTTTTGATAGCAATTGCTCATACAGATGTGATCGTAGTAACTGAACGTTATGGCTATAAACCAGAACATTCTCCTCCACACATCTGGCCAACCAGTCCCAATCCCACCTGCAGCAGTTGGTTCAAAATCATGTGCAGCACTCAGTACTTTGTGCGATGTGTTTCACAGGGTTTAAACCTAAAACCTGAATGTTTATTAATAGCAAGATACAATACTGGTACAAAGACCACAATATGACACATTAACTGTGAAATTTTAAGGTTTACATTGTGATAATATAGCTGTGAAGGAAAGTTTGTGAGCCCCTTTGAATTTGTGATTTCTGCACATATTGAGCCCAACACAGGTTTGCTAATTCAAGCATGTATGAGGTGGATCCTTGGCATTTATCTGTCTCTTCTTTGCATCTAACCCCAAGTCAGTGAATGTATCTCTGAATCTTGGTCTGTTTGCACAGAACATGTGCACCTGGAAAATCCTCTGGTGAAGGCTTACATCATTCTGAAAATATTCTCTGAACACGCCCTCATACAAAAAAAAAATAATCTTAAAACCTTGTAAGATTTCACTTTCTCCAGGAGACATTGTATACTTTGTCTGTCAGAAGGGGATGAGTCTTTGGTTAATCTCCATCATTGTATTACAGCTCAAACCTCACTCAATCTGCTGGGATCAGAGTTGCATTTGTTAGCTATACATTTGAGCTGCTTTGAACTTGCAGGCTAGTGACATTTTGTGCACATTTGGCTTGTAAACATGGCTTTTCACAGGGATGCCAAAACAGTGTTTTTGGTACATTTGCTTCCTTTACCCAAATGATAATTTCATTGTAGGCTGTAACTGTGGAATTGACATTTTATTGGCTCTGTTACACCTGCTTTTTTTTTTTTTTTTGCTTTTTTCTAATTACATTCAGCTTTTTGTTCCTTCCCAGGGAATAGGGAGGGAGCTTAAACATGTACTGCCTGGTGGTCCTCGAGGACCTGTTTGAGAAACACTGATATATAGATCATCCATGTAAATATATCTGGCTCCACCTGCTGGGCTAATGCAGAAAAAGTCAAGTTCATCAGCTGATAAGCTACCCAAGCTTAACTGAAGAGATAAGATGTAAGTAGAGCTTCTGAGTCCTGAGACCATGGGGGAAGCTATAGCAACTAAAATCGCTGCTCTGCCTATGAATAAATGAATTTTTTTGTTCACCAGAACTGTTGAAAGTAAAACTTGACCCTACTTGAAAGAAGTAGTTGAACCTTTTCAGTCACTGACATTTTCAACTTCAGTATAGATCTCGTGCTGTGCGATACAGCTTTGTATTAATGAATGAATGAATGAATGTTACATTTATATAACGTTTTTCAAGACACCCAAAGGGCTTACAGAAGCAACAGGGAACCATTTCAACCACCACCACTGCGCAGCACCCAACTGGATGATGCGATCTCCTGTGCCACTGCACTTACCACACAGTAGTTTAGGTAGTAAAAGGGCAGAACTGAATTCACCAGTTATATATAGGAGATGATTAGGAGGCCAGATTTCATACGGTCACAGTGGGCAGTTTTAGCCAGGATATTGGGGTACGACCCCTACTCTTTCGAAAGATGCCCAGGGATCTTTTACGAACTCAGAGAATCAGGACCTCGGTTTTATATCTCACCATTTTTACAGCACAGTGTCCCTGTCACTGCATTGTGGATCCACACCAACCTTAGAATGGGCTGATCTGTGGGCGACACCAGCACCTCTTCTAGCAACAATCCCCCTTTCCTAGTTGGTATTCCTTCCAACTGTAGATGTTTAAAAGCAAATTTAATTTAAAATGCAGGATTGGCAACTACATCTCAGTGCGCAAGGCATAAGATGTCTCCCAGGAGAAAGCCCCAATATGAAACTGATAACATTAGCTCTTAAAGGCACAGTCACTTTGTATCTAACATACTGAGACACAGGGTACTTGTATGTAACCCTAGAATCATGTGCCAAAATACAGTGCTGCTCGAAAGTTATTATGACTTAAAATATCAAAGTTCTTCCTATAAATCCTAAAAGTAGGTGAACAGAACACCTACTTTCTAGCAGACACCTGAAGATTTTGGGCTAAACTTGACTGGTATTTGGAACTGTTCATAATTCCCTCCACCTTGACTAAAGCCCCAGTTCCAGCTGAAGAAAAACAGCCCCAAAGCATGAATCCGCCCCCACCGCGCTTCACCGTGGGTCTGGTGTTCTTTTGGTGATGAGCAGTGATGGACCTTTCGGAATTGTGACCAAAAAGTTCAGCTGTGGTTTCATCAGACCATAACACATTTTCCCACATGCTTTTGGGAGACTTGGTGTATTTTATTTTTATTGCAAAATTTAGCCAGGCCTGGATGATTTTCTTTTTCTTTGTGAGAAAAGGCTTCCGCCTTGTGACCATGCCCCATAGTCCAGACATGGAGAATACAGAGATTGTTGTCACATGTAGTACACAACTAGTACTTGCCAGAAATTCCTGCAGCTCCTTCAGTGTTGCTGTAGGCCTCTTGGCAGCCTCCCTGACCAATTTTCATCTTGTCTTTTCATCAATTTTGGATGGACGTCCAGTTCTCGTTAACGTCACTGTTGTCCCATATTTTCTCCACTTCTTGATGACTGTCTCCACTGTGTTCCATGGTATATCTAATGCCGTGGGAATTTTTTTGTACCCTCCTCCCGACTGATACCTTTCAACAATGAGATCCCGATGATGCTTTGTAAGCTCTCTGCAAACCATGGCTTTGGCTGTAGAAAGCCACTGAGTAAATGTTAGGAATATCCTACTAGGACAGCTGAACTTTATTTGGGGTTAATCAGAGTCACTTTAATTGATGGCAGGACTGTACCCAAAAAGACTGAATGCTGCAATTAAATCAAAAGGTGCTTAAGGGTGTGCACACTTATGCAACCCGCGTATTGTACGTTTTAAAATTTTTATGTTACTCCCCCTAACAGATTTGTTTGTTTTTCAATTGAATTGTACAGGTTATAGGTCACATTAAAGATGGGAAAGGAAAAGTTTTGAAATTATTTATTGTGGTCTCATTTTTTTACATCACAAAAACCTGGCATTTTAACAGGGGTTTGTACACTTTTTATATCCACTGTACTACTACATTATTTGTGGCCCCTCAAGTAAAGTGTTATCAATATATATGTAATTTTAAATCCCTTTAATAATTACAAATGACTATTATACCTAGAAGGGTGGCATATTCGCCCAGTGGTTAGCATTGCAGCGACACATGTCCATAGTCGTTGGCTTGATTCTGTATACATGGAGTTTGCATGTTTTGCTGTGTTTATAGAGTTTTCCCCAGAGTCCTTTGGTTAACTTATACTGTTTAAAAACATGTGTTTATGTGAACTAGTGTCTCTCAATTACCTTCAGTGTTATGTGATGGACTGGCATCCAGTCCGGGGTGTCCCCTGCTCCTGTACTTGGATTGGCTCCAGGCTCAATGTAACCTTGTACTGCATAAGTAGTTACGGAAGATTGATGGGTGGATGTAGTGTACCTACCTTTCGATCTGACATATCAATATGCAGGCTCCATGAATACCAACACAGAAGACATTGGGATTGTGATTCATTAAAAATGAGTTTTATGAAATATGTCAGGATGGATGCTATTGAACTTCCAAAGTTAAAGAAAACATCTACCCTGAGGCTATTTCCTTTTAACAAAAAATATGAGGAGGGCATCTATCCACTAGAGGGCAGTATTTCTTGGCTTATATGCACTGCAATGTCTACCTGACCCAGTTTTGCCTTCCTGGCTCTTATTTATACAGCCAGAGTACATTGTACTGTTCTCTGTCTTGAAGTTTCTTCTTTCCTCCTGCGATAGTTGATATTCTCATAGGTCATACAATAGTTTTGCAACATAGCAATTCGCTCATTCTGTTTTCTGTGTTACCGTAGCAGTTGTTACTTCATTTTTGTGGAACATTGTGTATGTAACCAACTATGTTGTGCTAACTCTTGATTGTGTATTACTTCATATTATGAAAGAGAAAAAAAATCACTATGGATTAAAAAATATTTCAATAGTACAAAAGTAACATATGAGGCTCAACTTTCCATAGCATTCAGCATTCACCTGTATATATGTCTGTGTCTCATGGAGATGGGGTAGGCAAAGAGAAACATTCCAATGTACCTGTACTTACACTTCTGCAAATGGCAAATAAAGGATCATTTCATCATCATTTCAGTACCTAGTTAGAAGGAAACTTCACAATGACCCTTGTGAATGTGCAGAATGTTCCTGTGACCAGAGGAAATACGCAGCATTCAGCACCAGGAACTGTCCAAAACAGATAAACTTGGCCTTGTCCTGCAATTTCCCCTTTTCAAAAGGAGCCAACCCGTGGCCGTTTATACCAAAAGGTGCAGAAAGGAGGCCAATGGATCTTTCTTTATTACGTGCATTATGACACGGGGTCTAATGAGCAGGGTTAGCTCAGGTAACTCAGTGCAAAGACTTCTAAGGCATATAGAAGCTCCTAGAATACTTACCTTTTTATAGGCTACAAATGGAATTCTGAGTTTAAGTATACGGGTTTAGGTTCTTAAACAGAACAAAGAAATAACACAAGTGTGTTATAACCATATCACATCTTCTCTTTTATTTTGTAGTAATGTAGTAGCAGAACCATGATTTCATGCAGCACGGGAGCCGAATAAGTAACGCAGTTGCAGTGTAGATCAGCATTAAAATGTTGAGGTACATCGAATGATCCGGCCACAGCGTGCCTTGACCTGAAGTACTTTCACCTCAAATGACCGGTATGTTTGGACATAATTATCTGCACCACAGTGGCAATCACAGCAAATTCTTGTCTCCATTGTTTCCGATCAGTCCTCCTTGTTGTCAAATTAAATAATAAACCAATTGTAAATTGTATCCAGTACATAGGTAGGGGGGCAGAGATGAGATAGAGACAGAAATATGGCCAAAAATCATTTGTCTTTCTTTACTTAATAGATCGAGGAGGACGGACATCACATTCAAAAGAAGATGATCGCAAGCTGAAGATAAACATAACAAAGAAGCACCAATATCAACTTTCTGATGCTCCTGGGCTAATGACAGATGAGGGAAGCTGTCAACACAGTGTGTCTGTCTTGTGTATAATCTAACTGCTAAAAGAACACTTTTAGTTCTGCCAAGGAATATTAGCTGTCATACGTAGCTACTAGCTATGTGTTGATATGAATAGAAAATTGTATAATGTAGTGGTGACACAGTGTATAGCATGTTATCTTCACACCTACAGGGTTGAGGGCTCGATTTTCTCTCCCTGGTTTTGTGTATGTGGAGTTTGTGTTTGTATGGATTTCTTCCAGGTACTCCAGATTCCACTGTCTCTATGTATGTCAGTGTCTAACCTGTATTTCCTTGGACAGACTTACCATGACTGTCTGCTGTGTAAGTGGTTATGGAACATGGATCAATGACTCAGTGGTAATAACGCCAGACAGTGTTGCCAATTCTAAGATCTCTTCACAGCAATCAGTCTGTCAGTAGACAGCCAGTTTAACAGGATTTAGCTGGACAATTTTGTTTCTCACATGTGCTGTCCCATTGCACAGCTGCAGAAAACACTTTACAATGTGAATGTGATAACTCAAAAAGTATTTTAATGGGTATTACTACTTCAAAAAAATAAAGCATTATATGGATGTAGATCTACACCTGATTGATTCTGAGACAAATCACACCAAAACTGACATCAAAGAAAGGGAGGGGGCTGCAGAAGATGCTTGATCTTGTGTGAACACAGTAACTCTAAAAGTATTTTTGGATCTTTTTCAAAAGGATGATCTGGCGCTTTTAATTTTTTTTAAATTTGCCCCAAAATGGAAGCAGTGGTGGCACATGAAAGGACAGCCATGGACAGATCTGGTGAACCTGATTACATTGAGACAAGTCACACAAAGCTAGGCTTTTCATAAAGATTTTTTGGAGAGGTGGGGTAAGTGTGTATTGGGGCTAGAGATTGTAGCTGTTGGGGGGTGAGGGAGGAGGAGGGATTAGATGGGGGAGGGGGTAACAGTGATCTCTGGAGAATACATTGTCGTCGTTCCGACAGCATCTATTTACTGAAAGCTTTTGTATTTATTTGGCATTTGGTAAGGTTTTCACTAAGGGTATATTCTCTTCCAGTTTGCCTTTATTAATCGAGTTCAATAACCATTATACATTAAAACTTAAAAAAAAAAAATCTCTTTGGATCCTGGTTTTAATATATAAGAGCCTTGATGGTCTGGGTTAGGAAATATTTGTCTTGGTGCGTGCTAGATGTGGAGGGTTCATTTAAAATGTCCCAATATGGAAAAAATAGGAAGAGGAAAACAAAAAAGGAATTAGGTAACTTGATATGGGTAGAATTTGGTTATATATGTCATGCAAAATGTTTCAGAAATATAGCTACTCAGTTTAATGCATGCTAGTACATTGCTGAGTTAAATACTTAATTATAATTATAATATAGTCTACATTTGTAAATTTATTGCTTAAACTCATTCAACTGTTTTATTTAAAACTTCCAGTTATGTCCAGTGGTGCTGATGTCCATAAAATTAGTACTGTTGCCTTTGGTGTTGCTTTGACAAACTTGTAGCGCTTACTACCGGTGGAGCCCTATTCACCAAAGTTTAGGCTACATCAGTTCTAATTTGTGCACCATGCAGCCAACCTACAGAAAACAGCAGTTAAAAATGTTACTAGGATTGCCCTAATCTGAGTGACAGGCACTAGTTACACCCACTGTAACATCAGCTTCTTCAACACAAGTATGTGAATACTGGACCACAGCAGTTCACACGCCAGTCTGCTGAATTCCATTGTTTTCAATGCAACGATGCAGTTAGCTTGCTGACACACTATCGCAACACATCAAATGCTTCTGCATGCAGCACTCGATATGTGTCTGAAAGTTATATTATATTATATTACAATAATGACAGCAATAATAATAATCATGATTATTATTATTATTATTTTAACAGAGCATTAGTGATCTAAACCAGTGATAATGATGGTTTTCGTCTCGATGATGATCCCTGAGTATTTAGAGCATGAATCTATGAGAAGCCTATGACTTCGCTTCCTTTAGAATTTACAGGTGTTCCCTGACATGTTAACATGGGGAACAATCTTGCTCTTTTTCTCCATGTATTGTTCAGCTGTATCCGCTCTCATTTCGCAGAGTGCCGGTCGCACCCTCTTCCACCAGACAGCGGGGACCCCGTCTCTGACCGTGCTCCTCAGCTTTCCCCTCGCCCATTATACTTATTTTAAAGCCTAGAAGAGATAGATGGATTTTTTTCAGCAAATTGTTCGCTGTGCCCCAATTTCTAAAGTTACTTTCGTTGTTCCTTGTGGCCGCTCACGTCCTCCGTGGGGGGAGACAGGAGAGGGCTTAAATCACCACTCTTGGTATCAATTTGTCTGTTGGCCTATTTCCTTGCACAGGTGTCACTTGGTGCACATTAGGATTTTCATTGTGATTTCATTACTGAGCCGTAAAAATTCACAAAATGAGTATGAATTATCTGGGTGGAACATCAAACTTTCTATGGGAATCAATTAGCCCATAAAATGTTAAACAAACCCATCCATTTTTACAGTGTCATTTATGCCATTTTTTTAAATTAAAAAACATTCCTCTCCTCGACTTGTACTACATCAGTTTTATTATTTCCTATAATGTCCAATATTCCATTTATGCTGCAACTAATACTGGTTCTGTATGATAATGCCGCAATCCTTTGTTACTACCTTTAATAATCTTAGGATTACTAAATAAAATAGAGAGATTTTAGCTTACATACTGTAATAAACAACTCATCTACACCACCCATTCTGCACATGACACACACTTCCACATTATAGGAAGACTACTTACAATAAACAGTCTAATATGTTTATGTAATATGCTAACTTTTCGGATGACACCTTTAAAATTAGACAAAGTTATGACTGATACCGCTTCAACAATAATGACTAGTGTAACTGCTGTTACTACCATCTCGATATTCAACTACAACAACTATACTCCCACTACTGCTATCATTCTTAATTGTTACTCCTTTTATACTATAATACTACTAACACTGCTACCACTAGTACTACAGATACTTAACCTGCCACAAAAATGACTATATTTTGCATTTACAATTTTATTTAATGTGTTTTAAATAATATTTTTTAATTCACTTATTACAAGTATTCCTTTATGGTTAAGGGAACAATAAGTTGTCTTTGCAAAGCCATTTTAGTTGGAAAAAAAAGATAGAGATGGCAAAAGATATGGTAAGTAGGCTGGGCTTTGATATAAAAGCTCCACCAACCTACGACACCCATCCTTTCCTTCCACTTTGGGGTCCAAAAGCTTATCATGACTTACTGGTGGCTTGGCGTCTGTCTCTTGCTGGGCAGTGCTGCTCACGCACAGCTCCCCTATCAGGCACAGATGCCAGGAGGGATCAAGGTGCTGACCACCAACACCCCTGAGGCAGTCGAGGCAGCCAGTGTTTCTCTGGAGCTCTACAACCAGCAGGGCAAGGATATCTACATGTACTGCCTCAAAAGGGTCAATTCCGCCAGGATGCAGGTGAGGACAGAGCTTTCCACCACTGGAGGTGCTACCCAAATTGTTTTTGTAGTTAATTGAGTGCGGGGGTTGAGGGGGTGTCATCATTTTGTCTGAGAAACAGTCTCAGGAATTTATGGGAAAGTTAATACGCACATTTGTCCCAGGGAATGTATTAAGTCATATTTTCCTGTGATTCGCCATGCAGAAAATATTCTATTTCATCAGTGAAAGACTTGTCAATTGATTCAATAACATTTTGTAAAAAAGAAGACAAAGGCAAGAGAGCATATTTTTCCATCTCTTTCCCAAGACAAATCATTTTGATTGAACCAGGAGTGTTGCTGGGATCTTATGAAATATGTTTGCTGAAACATCTGATCTAAACAAATCATTGGAGGTGTGTTCAGACTCAGCTGGGGCCTGAAGGTGTGAGGTCATGGTTGTGCACACTGATCCCTTTGGTTACAATAATGACAGCAGTAATAATGATAATAATCATGATTATTATTATTATTATCCCTTCTGTTTAATGTTTAGTCTAATTCTATATCACATGGTTTCACTTACCACCTGTCTCTAGTTACAAGAACAAACAATACAACCAGTGTTGGGCATTTCAGGTCCAGAAGCTACAGATCTAGACCAAGATTCTGTTTCTACTAACCAGCTGAGCGTAAAGAGTCACAGTCACAGCATACTCAACTGGCTGGCAGAAACAAAATCTTGGTCTGGATTTGTAGTTTCTGGACCTGAAATGCCCAACATAGAATATAACAATAAACAAACACTATACAGTATATGATGTATGATATACCCATAACACAGTGACAAACAATGCAGACTTGGACTGACATGGATCCCAAAGCTTCTGACTGGTTCATGGACCATCTGCAATTCAGCACGTATATACGGTTCATGATGTTGTTTCGTACTGTCATAAGAATAAATTATATGATAAACTGTGAAGTCGTGAAAAACTACTAATTGAATTGATCTTTAAACAGAAATAAATTCCCACTATTTTGTATTATTTTTTTTCTGTTACGAAAGTAATACCAGCGTGTGTGCAATATGTGTGCATACATTTTCACTTATAATAAAAACTAGAACTTAAATGGCAAAATGTAATATCAGAATCTGCATATAGTTTTGCTAGCACCGTTTCTGGATAAGAGTTTTTCCTGTTTAAATAACTGTGTACATTCATCATTAGAATCGGCCGAGAAAACAATATATTTGTCTGATATCCGGGTTATTCACAAATAACTTATCCATTTTCCAACCAGGGTCACAATGAACCTGAAGCCTATCCCACAATGCACAGGGAAAAGGGCACAGGGAAATACATATTGTAATATTTGCTCTGGAAAGCATTTAGGTTATAAAGCCATATGAAGACAGAAAAGAGGGTGGATCTCTGTAAGCAAGAGACAACAGGTGTAATTTATTTCTGTTCTGACAGGTGGTGGCAGGACTCAAGTACTACCTCGACGTAGAGACTTTCCGTTGTATTGAAGAAGAAATATACCTCCAAAGGGACAATGCTCAGGTAAGCATTCGCTGCATGAGAATCACAGCAAAAGTGTTCAGGTATCTCAGCTGACATTTCTTGTGGCCTTTTCCCCTCCAGACTTTTCTGTGCAAGTTTGAGCTGCTCCAGGTGCCATGGCAGAATATCAGTCGGCTTCTTAAAGGCCAGTGCGGAGAACCAATTCCTGTTGTGGGCCAGATAACACCAGTAGCTGCCAAGGATCCTCTGGTGCAGAGTGTCGCCAAATTTGCTGTGAACCAGTATAATGTGTACCCAGGAAATGATTACACCTATGGCATGGTCCAGGTTCTGGCAGCCAAGAAGCAGGTGAGGCTCCAAATTTGCTGCTTGAGATGCCCCAATGATGCAGGTTTTTGTTTGTTGTCTGACATGTATCTTTCCATCAGTTGATAAGTGGACACAAATACTACCTGGATGTTTGGATGGCAGAGTGTCTGAAACAGAGAGTCACAGAGACTATACCCTGCACCACTAATGTTAGTGCCCAGGTAAGTTTTGAGACCAGATACATAGCACACGACAAGAAGTCACACGAGGATGAAAGAAGAATGAACACCTTTACAGATCTGATGTACAGTTATTTTCAGTAAAGCCAGTGTATTTTGATTAAACTTGAGCATTTTGTTTAAATATTACAACACAATAGACCATTATGTACCCAAAAATATATACAGTTCAAGTTTAATTATAACATGTACAACTGTCAATGTTTCAATTGTTTGAAACTTTTGTCCCCAACAGGAATTTGCATGTTTCTTTGTGGTCTGGCTGAAACCCGGAGAACTGGGCGGAGTTGAATTCTTAGATAGCACTTGTATCCCATTTGGAATAAATCTTGGAACAGGACTTTCCAGGCTGAGGAGCGCATAGTCAAGCAAGACAACAGGAAGGAATGTATATCTTTTTTTTGGAAAGTATCATACTTGATTTTATGGTGAAAATGTTGATTATGTAGTACCTTATAAGAAAAAAATAGTTTTTACACATTTTAAGATACCCACAACCAAATGCCACTGCATTTTCACAAATATAAACATACATGCTTATTCCAGCCTCCTTTATTACATAAAAATGTGCCCCACAATTAAGATATTTTTTATGCTGAAGTGGAAACATCAAGAAAATCGGTCTGGAAAAGCTTGTCTTTATGAGGTCACAAACACGACTAAAGCACTACTATTAGGAGTATGTTTATTCATATTGAAGAAGTTTATTCATATTGCTGACTGCAATGTTTTAGGTCCAGATCTGGTCTGTTTCAAGGAGAGCGTATGGAATAAGCAGAGGACATCCAGGATGTGAGGCTGCTGTATTTCAGCAGACTCAGACACATACTAGGGACAATTTACAGCTACATATTCTTCTGAACTGCAAGCTTTTCAAGTTTACTAATGAAGATTCTCAGTGGGATAAGTGAAACAGGAAAAGCTTGGAGGGATCAATGCTTGCGTGTTTAAATAATGTATGAGATATAGGAAAATGTAGATGATCAAATCTCTTGTGATCATTACTATATTTCATTTAATCTGACCTGAATTAAATTTGACTGATCTCTTGATCATTTTATTTGTAATAAATACTTCCTATTCGAGTGTCTTGCTTTCCTTTGAAAACCTGAATAATAATAACAATTTAGAAACCATTAAGATAACTGCATGAGATACATGTGACAGCATGGTGGTTCAAACTTCCACAACCCTTCTGGGCTGTTTTGGGTCCCCTTGTGGAACCCTAAAGACAAAAGGCTTTTTGCATTCAAGGACCAACCCTGCTTTACATAGTGCAGAGAAAATGTTCAAGTGTTTTTTTTTAACTAAATGACAAACAGTTCATTTTAGCATGTAGCAGCTTGCTTGGAGACAGCAGCCAGGGCTAATGTTTAGACTACTATACAACCATTCCACTATCCACAAACCCCAAACAGCTTGGTGGTCAATAATATTGTTAATAATCTTGGTAAAAAATATCCTTGGTGTGGGTGCCTCAGTGGTCTCAAAACCTATATATCTTTCAAATCCTGAACCTACTGTGCATGCTATGTTCCTCCCACACTCCAAGGACGTGCAGTTTGGTACATTGGCGTCTTTAAATTGCCCTTTGGGGCTTAATAGTGTGGGAGCATATTATACGTTGGCCTGACATCATCTGCAAGTTGTGCCTTCTTCATGCTCTTTAATTCCTAAGATAGGCTGCAGGCTCACTATGACTCTGGACTGGATAAGTGGTAATGAAGAATGTACTAATGTCCATTGATAGTCACTCCAGCATATTAATATGTTTCCTTTACCAGAACATTATGCATATGCTATATATAAAAACATTGTGGTTAAAATACTTTCCACAAAATGTAGTTACTGTTATAAATATGCAACAAATATAAACAGCCTTTACCCATCTTCCAACCACTTATGTATCGCAGTGTGGTACTCCACGTACACAAAGCAAACATGGGGTTCAAACCCACGATCGCGAAAGAAGTGTTTATTTTTTAAAGACATAACGAGAACCGCCTGATACCGAGCCAGAGTCACCAGTTCCGCGGTTTTCACGCCAAATTGGGCTATTTTGAAAATACAGTTGCAGGTAAATATTAGGTCGCGGGCTGCAGTTTTTTGGGCTGCCTTCATAATGTTCCGCGACAGCGGATTGTGAGGGGAAATAGAAATGAATTGTTATGAATGGTGACTCCTAATGCTGAGTAATACTAAATCGATAGCCATGGAAAGGCAGAGACAGACGCACACGGAAAGCAGGGTTGCCAACTCTCACGCATCTGGCCTGACACTCATGCTTTCAAACTCTAAGAAATCTTACTGTAAATTTACATTATTGATTGTTCCATTATAAACCTAAAATTAGCTACATCGGAAGCGTTGGGGATAATTTGCAAATCCTACAGACTATATGCAAGGTAATAAAACCGTTACATCCACATAAATGCCTGTGCAGACTAGTCTCGAATTGAAAATCTCATTCGGCCAGCTGTTCAGTTGGAAACCCAGGGAAAAGGTCTGTCTGCCTGACGTCATTGTGTTTAAATAGTGGTTTTTAAATTGTTAACATTTGAATGTGACCAACATGCAAAATACTGGTTTTTTTTCTTTGAGATACAGTATACTGGGATTTCAAATATTGGGCGGATTTTAAGCAGACTTTGGGCTAGTGATTTTTGCTGGACTTTCGGTAGTGAATAACAGCTGTACCGACTACCGACTCCCGAGCCCCGAGCGGTCTTTTCCGGTCCTTTTGCCGGGGTGTTCACGGCAGACGCGTATTGATGGCGTCACGATCCGGCGGACCAATCAGCGCGGGCGTAAGACAGTAGGCCTGGTTGCTTTCGAGACTCTCCATCATTCCTGCCGGCGTCTCTGACAGCTGTTGGTGTAGTGGTCCGATTTATTTAAACAAATACTGACTGTCTGAGCTGAAGAGGAACATAATGGTGTTAGATCTGGATCTTTTCCGTTCGGACAAAGGCGGAGACCCCGAAATAGTAAGAGAAACACAGGCGAAGAGGTTCAAAGACGTGTCCCTTGTGGATAAACTGGTACATGCGGATGCCGAATGGAGAAAATGTAAGTATAGTATTACAGCGGCGTCTTATTAAATGCCTAAAAAAGAGCCTTCAAATCGACATTACTTTTAAGTAGTCCTACACATTCCGTATAGTTAGCTGGCTGGTGTATGATCGGTCAATGGGTAGCAAACTCGTCGATCTACGGGTTAGCAGTCTATCGGTGGGCTTATTGTTATCCGGCGATCCGGTATAATTAATATTAAGCAGGCTGCAGTGGTTTTCTTTATGCTTCATGCGCTTCGGTGACGTGTCGAAGCAAAGCGAAAGTGCCAGCTACAATGCAGGGACCCCAACACATGTGATCGCTGCGCGGAGAGGCTGAACCTGATCTGATGCAATCCACCTGCAACCTGACAATCACGGCTCCCCTGCTGATGTTTATAAAATTTAGGTCCGGTCTTTTTAAGCTGTTTAAATTCCTTTACAGAATGGAATGTCATTAATGAATAAACGAAAACGAAAGTTACATATCTACTTAATGAATCATATAACGTAGTTGTCGCTACCCTGATCAATGCTATTGGCATGAACACTGCTGATGCTAGGGTCCAGCTTGTGCAGCCAAGATTTATCGTTAAATAACATTCAGTTCTTTTCTTAAACTTGTTTCTTTTTAAATCCCTTGTCAGCTACTGTTCTAAATTCAGGAAAATTCAAGTGGAAATGGACAAAACGATCCATCACAAAGTACATTATAACACGGAGATGAATAAACTTTACTGTTGAGCTTGAAAGCTTGAAAGAATCATATAATGTAAATACTTACAAAAATTATAATGCTCCCATGTGATGTGTTTTCTACATTCGGTATATTTATAAAGAAGTTTATACCATATTTTGATTGATGAAAGAATTCAATATAAAAACAAAAAAGGTAAGCGGACCCTGTAAACTGGCCAGTCACCATAATTGGAAAGCTGAAAAGGGTGTTTGATAATTGCTGTGTAGACTGACTTTTTTTCCCTTTCATGCTCAGGCCGCTTCACAGCGGATAATCTGAATAAGGTGAAGAACTTGTGCAGCAAAGCCATTGGGGAGAAGATGAAGGTACGGTCAGAACCGAAGGCCTCAGTACTGAGATTCTCTGGACAAGATGAGTGTTTTTCGCCTCATCAGCTAGCAGTGGGTGGAGCTGTGCTTTGGCTTCTGTACAGCTATTTCCTGGTTCAATTTGTCGTATCACATTCCAGTCTTTGTATCAGTATTGTATCTGATTATCAATACGGACCCAGCTATGTAAAATGAGTTCTTATCCGATCCTGTAAAACAGGAAAGTCAGTGGATGAACCTTCAGCATGACCCACCACTCATAGAAATGTTAACATCAAGAGAATACTGCCTCTAAAATGACATGGTGATCATGATGTCTGGAGCACCAAGAAGCGTAATAAAAATCTGCATCTCCACATCCTACTCGTACATGATCGGCACTTTTTCAAATCTGATATCAATTGTTAGATGTGAGGTACAAATCTGAAAAAATTCTCTCCTGGTCAGATTAAGAATATGAATAATTTGACTGTCTGCAGATGTGCACGTTTTTCTCATAATTGTATGGCATGCATGGTAACTTTCCTACTATTCAACCCTTTGAGTTGAATGATTACAAAAAGTTGCTTTTATATAACTGTTTTTAACTAAATGTAGTTTGTCTATCTGTATGTGATTGGCAGAGCATCCTCAGTGTCTCTTGCCTGTGCCTTGTCCCAGCAACCATAAATATATAGTTAATTTGTGATGTATGATTAACTGTGTAGGATCAGTGCTCTGATAATTATTCTTTTAATATTGTCTGCGCAGAAGAAGGAGCCACTAGGAGATGACGACTCCCTTCCTGAAGATGCAGAGAATTTGGAGGGCCTGACCGCAGACATTTTGTCGGTATGTTGGTGCTTTCCAAATTTTAGCTATGACCACCTTCCCAGGCTGGGGTACTCCTAGATTCTTCCAGCACCTCCCTTCCCCAGCAATGATGTATCAAGCTGAGTTGCCCATTGGTCTGCAGGCCCTTACGGTGACCCAGATCAAGAAGATCCGGCTGCTGGTGGATGAAGCGGTGCAGAAGGGGGACTGCGAGCGCCAGCAGCTGGAAGCTGAGCGCTTCGAGTACCTGCGTGAGATCGGCAACTTGCTGCACCCCTCTGTGCCCATCAGCAACGATGAGGTACGGTCTGAGCCACTGGGCTGTGGGGAGTGTGGGAGGCGGGTCGTATATAATCTGTAAGTCTAGAATAAGGAGCTATTTTGAAGCTCAGAAGCAACATGCATGCAAGGGAATAATATGCATTACCTGATATTTGAAACATGCTACACTGAGACCAAAGCGAAAATCAACATTGTTTCCATTGTGTCACTGAGAAAAACTCAGACGACTTTTTGCATATATCTGGTGCTTTTATCCAAAGCACCTTAATGGGAACAGTTACTATTTGTGTGCTCCCTGGGATTTGAACCCACAACCTTTGCGTTGTTAGCACAATGCTCTACTTGTTGGACTACAGTTCGACACAAGTAGCTGGCTATTATTGGAATTTATTGTTTACAAAAAAAGATTATTTTATTTATTTATTTTTTGGGCTGTTTGTATGTTGGGGCTGCAGCTTTTGACCCATGTCACTAAAGTTTGAATTGCATCTCATGAAATGAACTGACAGGATGCAGATAACAAGGTGGAGAGGACCTGGGGTGACTGCACAGTACAGAAGCGATACTCGCACGTGGACCTAGTGGTCATGGTGGACGGATTCGACGGGGACAAGGGAGTCGTGGTGGCCGGCAGCCGAGGCTACTTCCTCAAGGTGGGAAGATCCCTATGTTACTGCCGTAAGGTGGAGTTTGGCTACAGCATCAGGCACTCCTGGCTTTCCGGGTCAGGCCTGGGAAAGGGCTATAAGTCACCTGAATTCTCCAGCTTGTTTCAAACAGCTTGGCACTTGGTGAGGAGGTTGTGTAAGAGACAGTCTTATCATTGCTGGGCTGAAACAGGCTAATTATAGTAAACGAAAACTGAAACCATTTGAAAACCTTTTCATAAACAGGAGCAAAATATATGACAAAAAAAAAAATAAACGAAAACTTTTTTGTGTGGTGTGAATTCGAGTGTCTCCATTGTAGTGAAATGTATTTCTGAATCTATGCTTGTCTTCCTGCATGGTCACCTTGTGTATGCATTGATTTCGGGCCTCTTTGTCGACACAGGGTCCACTGGTGTTCCTTGAACAAGCCCTGATAAACTTCGCCCTGAGGGTTCTGCATAGCAAGAATTACACGCCACTCTACACGCCCTTCTTCATGAGGAAGGAGGTCATGCAGGAAGTTGCTCAGCTCAGCCAGTTTGATGAAGAACTCTACAAGGTGCATGCCTGCATACCAGCCTGCTGCAGCAGCCTATTTTTACCCGTTGTCTTACCTGTTCTGCGGCTCCTGCTCCACCTGGCATGCGGAGATGTTGGTTTCACGCCATAACCGTCATGCCCGTCCGAACAGGTGATTGGAAAAGGCAGCGAGAAGTCCGACGACACCAGCCTGGATGAGAAGTACCTGATCGCCACGTCGGAGCAGCCCATCGCAGCCTTCCTGCGAGAGGAGTGGCTGAACCCGGAGGATCTGCCCCTGCGCTTCGCCGGTATCTCCACCTGCTTCCGGCAGGAGGTGGGCTCGCACGGGAGAGACACTCGCGGCATCTTCCGCGTGCACCAGTTCGAGAAGGTCAGCCCCGCCGCTCACAGCATCCGTCTGCATGTCTTGTCTGGTGAAGTGTCAATCAGATCCTTATTGATGCACAAAATTATCATCAACATTGATTCATTGTTGTGACGACTCCATGCACCTTGAACCTTCTCATCCCTTTTCTTGCTTACCTATACGGGCTTTTTTCAGTGCACTAGGTCTACTATAATATGCCCAAAATATGATAATTATCAGTGAAAGGCTATCAGAATGATGTTTCAATGTGGTTAAAATCATGTTTTAATGTGGGTAAAATCATTGGTGAAGCAAAATGCAGCATGACATAGTCTGGGACTTGCACTTTTAAAGTGACTCACTGAACTTCCTTTCCTGCCACCTGTAAGTTGTAAACACTTTCACTTTCTCCATAAATCCTATATTTAATAAAAAAAAAATTTCCCCTCCAAAAACTCTCAAGAAGGACCTTATTTTTCAGTCTGTCTGTTGCAGTTGGGACAGTTATATGTTATTAGGTTAAGGATACAAATTTGTATTCAAAGTTGGTGGCTGGCAGTATAATCAAAGCACACTAGGGCCCTTGAGCAAAGCCCCCAAGTGCTCCAGGAGAACTAGATGCTGGCTGTGGCTACTCTCCCCCAAAGCTATCCTCAGTACCTTGCTATACATACATAGCAATATGACTAGGTGAGGCATTAGGAGTAGCCAATAAGCACTCAATGAGAACTATGACTCGAATACGCTTCCCACTGGCTTTCTGGCTAACAGGCGTTTATTTTCTGCTACCGTGGATCTACTTCACTCACCTGCAATTCTACATACAAAAATCAGACGGCAAATAAAATGTGGAGTCTGCCCTGACCCCCTTCCTTCTGGGAATAAGGAAGCCTCCTTTGTCGTCCTCCTCCCACACAGATTGAGCAGTTTGTTTACGCCTCTCCTCATGACAACAAGTCCTGGGCAATGTTTGACGAGATGATTGGCACCGCGGAGGAGTTCTACCAGTCCCTGGGGATCCCGTACCGCATCGTCAACATCGTCTCAGGTTATTGTTATTGCCGTATCAATTCATGACTGCTGGAACCATACAGTTTGGGTAACAGCTACATGTGTGGAAAAATGAACTAAAACTAATTTAAAGTTCATTTAAAGCTTCATTTGTGTGTCTGCTACAAAGCTAAAGCTCAGCATAGTAGCAGCTGTTTGAAAGACTCCGTCGATCATGAATTGCATGATCATATTTTAAACATTGTGATTAGGGCTGCACTAGTGATGCTCCGATTGATCGGCCACCGATCATGATCGGCCGATATTGGCTAAAAATAGCTTGATCGGTGAACCCCAAAAGCACCGATCAAAAAAGCCGATCACTTGACGTAAATTACTCGCGCGACTTTTTCACACGTGCATGCACGGCGCACAGGTAAACAACAGCAGAGCGGAGCTTACCAGTGGCAACATGAGTTCTCCCGTCTGGAAGTTTTTCAAAGTGTCCGAGAAAGACGTAAAGTTAGCCGTTTGCAATGTATGTCTTGATGAAATCCCTCGAGGTGGAAGCAAGCAACGGCATTTTAACACCACTAACATGATTAGGCATCTTAGAACACGCCATACAACTGAATATGCCGAGTATGAGAAACTAAACCACTCTGCTCTCGGGGAACATTTCATGTGTTGACCCTGGAGGTGTCAGGCAACAGTGCTGACCAAAGTGTCACTGCCCCTCCTTCAGTGTGGGGCGCCAAGTGTCAAGCGCTTGATTCTTCAAGATCTTGACTGTAGCCTATTTCTACAGTTTTTTTTTTCCCCCAATATAGTTAATTTAGTTAGTTTCATTTCTACAAATTTTGCTAGATTATAGATAAAAGATTCCCATTCCCCTGCCATTCTGTGATCGGCAGTGATCGGCAATCGGCAGATCATGATCTTGGTGATCGGTAATCGGTGATCGGCCCCAAAAATGCTGATCGGAGCATCTCTAGGCTGCACGATATATCGTTTCAGCATCGTCATCGCGATGTACGCACGTGCAATAGTCACATCGCAGAATGTGCGATGTTAAGTAACGCAAATTAAATTAAGCGGCGTGGACAACGCTTTTGGTGTTTTTGCTGAACTAACAAATGTCACACTGTTCTTATTCTTAAACAATCCACAAAAGTCTGTCTAACGTAATTTAATTCAATTTAAAGGTTTTTGGATATGGAGTCGACACGCAGCTTTGCACCGGCAGCTAACAAACATGTCGATCACAGAATGAACCACCAAGCACAAACATTCTAGCCATTTAACCCAGTATTATTTTGTCACTCATGTTAACTCTCATATGCGATAAGCTTACATAGTTTAATGCTCATGCTCTGTTTAGTACTGATTAAGTTATCATTACCATTATATTTGGGCTAAATCAGGTCAATCTTTCTAGAATGATTAATCATACCAATAGAGCAGCGGTCACTAACAGGCGGACTGCGCCGGACCCGGACCCAGAAGCTGTCCCATACGGAACTGGACCGATAGCCAAAACAGAAAGTTTGGATTTAAACCTGATGGGGCCCTTCTATTTTAACCTTCACAGCTTTTGTAGTCTTTTCGGTAGTGGTTTAGCACTAGAACTGCCGCTTCCCACACCAATGCACGTCAAACGCCTTTAACTGCGAAGCGTAGTTCGGCGTATGCAGCCCTTTGTCTGCGCTAATGTGCCATTAGTGTTAATAACAGCAGCAAAGCAACCAAAAAGCCGTAATGTTCCTAACAGAGTGGCTGCTTAATAACAGCAGCGAAGCGAACACCCGCAACCAAAAATCCGTAATGTTCCTAAGAGAGTGGCTGGTCTGTCCTGAAATCATATAGCTGAAAAGTTTTCAAATACAGTATGTATTATATAACATGTTGGATAAATAGACATAGTTTATTGGTGATTTCATGTTCGTGGAAGTTTCCGCTTTTTAACATATGTATAAAGTAATATTATCTGTTATATAGATCAACTCAGGTGAAACAAAAATTGTACGTTTTCAGCATCTGGCACGCTACTCATGATTTCAGACTTGCGCAGGAAATCTTACGGCAAATCTATATTATTCCATTATAAACCTAAAATGAGCTACGTCAAAAGTGTGTTTATATGGTTAAATACAAAAGCATACTATTTACAAGGTAAGAACTGTTACATGTGTGTGCAGACATCTCGAATTGAATTGCACTGAATTAATTTGATTTGACAGTCAGGTACTGATTACATGCAATGTTGATTCAACTGATATGCTACTTAAATATACATCACACTAAATAGTTAGACATTATGATCTTCCGGACCTTTGCTTCAAGAAATTTTCTCTAACTGGACCTCTTTAAATTTTAGTTGAATACCCCTGCAATAGAGCTATTGAACTAATAAGAATTTTTTAAATCCCAATATCGCAATATATATCGCAGAAAAAATAAATATTGCAATGTGATTTATTCCCAATATCGTGCAGCCCTAATTGTGATTATTTTATACTCTTGAAAGGTTCTTTAGCCTTGAACTACACCACTTGCACACTGTATGTGACCATTGTCTTATCTTTTCTTAACTGTGTATCAATGTATGAGAGCTACTGTCAACCAGAGACATATTTCCTGTGTGTGTGAACATACTTGGTCAAAAAACCTGTTGCTGATCTGTTTTGGAACCTCTAAAATATGCCGCAGTTCACCAGAGGTTAATGTTACTAGTGTTTCAGTTCATTATTTTTCTCAGTGGTCAGCAGAGCCCTTGACTGTCACGCTCCGTGCTGTCAGAATTTGAGAGGTGATTGTTTGTCTGCAGGGTCACTGAACTCGTGACTCACCCTTTGCCATCCAGGTGCCCTGAATCACGCAGCCAGTAAGAAGCTGGACCTCGAGGCCTGGTTTCCAGGTTCCTCTGCCTTCCGCGAGTTGGTGTCCTGCTCAAACTGCACAGACTACCAGGCACGGCGGCTGCGGATCCGCTACGGGCAGACAAAGAAGATGATGGACAAGGTGAACACAAGGGAATCTGAGGGGTTACCGTTCAGCCATGTTACACTCCACGTGTGTTAAAGTTAACAGGTGGCGCTAATGCCAATGAGAGAGGTCAATCCTGATGTCCCCTAGGTGTTTTGTGTGACTACAGGGCCACCGACGTTTACTTAGGCTGTTGTACTTTGTTGGAAGTGTAGCGGTGTGTTTGTGTGTGTGTGTGTGTTAGTGATGCGCGGGTCGGGTATTTTTCCAACCCGCGGGTCCCGCTTTTATGAAATTATTTGGCCCGCCCCAGCCCGCCCCGCACCACTGTATCTATTTTTACAACCCACCCGCACCCGCGACCATTAAATAAACATACTAGGCATTGTAATTCAAATGAAATGCTGGAAGTGCCTGTTTTGTGGCTCTCATGTTTGTATATTTCACACGAATTGCACTTCACGTAGCCGATACTGCTGTTGTCTCCTGCTGCAACTATTTCTGAGAACCGAAACATTAGATTTAGCAGCCTGACCTTTTTTTCTTTTAATGATGTAAATTCCCGACCTCAATTTCTCCCGCACCTCGTCTTCCATCTTCACTTTTATTTCTTTGTTTTTGTTGTGACTGGCAGCGGTAGCTGCTTGGCGCTTTCGTGGCTTGTCACGTGACGTAACCTTATCAAAGAACTTAATTAAATATGAAAATAGATATTTCCAAATATTTAATATAGGCTATAGGGAATTGCACGCAACATACATGGATTTTTAATTTAATTTTGTTTTTAATGACCCGTCCCAACCCGCCCCGCAAATAAAGTGATAATTTCTTTACCTGCCCCAACCCGACCCGGGGGGACCGCGGGTTACGAGACGACCCGCGCATCACGTGTGTGTGTGTGTGTGTGTGTATTTTTATTTTATCCTGAGGAATTTATCACTTTTAGCATTAATTTCTGAAAGAACACTCTTCGATGTTCTCTCTCCCAACCATATAGAACTGCAACAAAGATGTTTATTAGAATTTGCATCAGCCATTCCTCTGGTTTCTGTTCAGTTGGCTTATCATTCCTCAAGAATTTAGTGAATTTAGTGTTGAAGAACTGCAGAGCGATGAGTCTGCCCATGGTGACTGAACTGTACTTGCTTCTCCCCCCCAAGGCTGAGTATGTGCACATGCTGAATGCCACCATGTGTGCCACTACGCGGGTTATCTGTGCTATCCTGGAAAACTGCCAGACGGAGGAGGGCATTGTGGTTCCTGAAAAGCTCCGCAACTTTATGCCCCCAGGTAGCTGCGGCGCACATTTTTGAATCCACATTCACAGTGCTTCCTTTGCTGTTGGTTCAGAGTTTTGTTCTGTCCCCTCAGGGTTGACGGAGATCATCCCATTTGTGAAGCCAGCACCTATAGATCAGGAGCCATCCAAGAAGCAGAAGAAGCAGCAGGATGGTGGGAAGAAGAAGAAGCAGGCACAGGCGGACCAGGAAATTCAAAGCCAAGTGGAGAATATGTCTGTCAACGACTCATAGGGCAACCCTTTCCATTCCCCTCCTTGCCAGAAGAACCCAGGGGGGTCAGCCTTTATTTCCTGATGTCATAGAAGTACAGTGGCCAAATCATTGCATTTATGGTCCACCAGGGGGCACCACATACCAGTGGCTCTTAAGTTAAACTATGGACTAGGCTCAATGGACGGTAAAAAAATAGGTGTCTACTTATTGCATGCTTACACCTGATGGAGGTTAAGTGTCCAACAGCATCAGTGTTGTAAGTGAACCTTGTCCTTGTTAAAACAGTCACCTGCCACCCCCATTGAGTGTAGTCCCATGGCACTGGCTTTTCACCATCTGCTTGGTTAACTGTTACTTTGAAGACTTAGATGACGTCTTACAAACACACCTGCCCTCCCCGTCTTTAATATCATGGTTGGCTTTTATCGCGCTTCCTATCCTGTCACTTTCTTCCAAATGTCTTACATCTCCATAACTTGTGAAGGGAATTGTACCAGTATATTCTTGGTCTGGTGGTCACTCTGCTGTATTTTTTGGCTATATACAGCTTTTCTGGGGCTGCAGTGCAATTTCATAACATAATAAAATTACCCCTCAACCATAAAAGTCTGGGCCTTTTAATTTATGGTGGTCCTGGTGATGTCTTCCAGAAGTTTCTGTATCTGACTAATGCCCTGAAGGATTGCATGTGAGTGAAATGACAGTGACTCGACTACATGGTTAAAGCTAGTTACAAAAAGATGCAAATGATGAGTCATCTACCTACTAGCTTTCGTGCTTTTAAGTTACTTGATTTACAATTTCAGTTCAGGCATCACTTCTAAGGATGCCGCGGACAGGGCTCTAGGCGTGGTTTAACCTGCAACCTTTAGCTCACTTTTATATTACAGTACTATCCTGTGTTGGAGTCCTGCTGTTACAGCCTTGTTGCAAAAACGTCGCTGCGGCAGCATGAAGTCTGCCTGTTTAATCATGGCGCTTGAATCACGTAACATTGCTATTTGCGGTATAGTACTGTTTGTTTTGATTTGAAACCGAAAAATCCTTCTAAAAGAAGAATACAAAGAAGGAAGTGGCTGTGAAAACTAAATCTAATTAACACTTTAGTACAAACCTCGGTTTTGGGTTCACGTTTCGGTGCAGCAGGGAGTATGGAATTTGTTATGTGATTATTAAAATCGCAAACACAAATACGTCCGTATAATGAACCGCGGTGTATAACCGCACGCTCTAAACTGCTCCCCAGCCACGGATCGATTTTAAAGCAAAGTCGTTTCTCCTGCGACTGCTCGCTGTAACTTCATTTTCCTTGCCTTAAGCTGACTAAAAAGTTGTTTACTATGATATTTTGCAGTCAAACTAAGTTAAAATAAATTAGTTAAGATTAACAGCCTCCTGTAAAACGCTGCAAATGTGCAGTAACATTCAAACGCGACAGTAATGCTTTTCTTTTCGACAACGCTCGTTTGTGCAAATAATTACCTTCAGTCCCAAGAAGCGATTAATTTATTTGAACAATGATTTTTTTTGACACTTTACTGAATTCATTCTGCTTAATTATTTTTTGCTGGTCTGTATTTTATTCATATAATGCGGCAATTAACTTCATACTTAGCACCGTCATTTAGAAATGGTATAACAACCAAACACGAAAAGTAATACAAACCGTGCTCCGTGAGGGCTAACAAGTGTTTCGTATTTCTGCAGCTGGCATTATTTTGAGCTAGGCAATAAGGTGGCATTTTGCAGGATGACCCCGTCTAACTCTGGCTGGGAAAATCCTACAGACATTAAACTTGCACCAGTTACTGATCTTTGTCATTTATGGATGCTGTAGATATTTACCAATTTACAACACTTCAATTAAATTTCCTTTGGTGTAGTCTTGGTATAAACAACAATTCTGGTGTAGTAACAGTAGGCATAGATTTCAAAACTTGTCAGATAAACACTTAAAAGGAATTTATTTATTTATGCATTAAAAATTATTTTTTTTTTTTTTCAGATTTGCTGCGACACGTGAGCTGTGGTTTCACGCAAACTGTCAACATATTCCAGTGGACAAAGAGTACATATGCCCAGAATGCATGTGACTATAATACTGGCAAATCGTAAAACTGGCAAATGAGAAGGACGCTCCACAATTTAGCGATGAATGTTCATTTAACGGACAATAGAAACCTACTGATAATAATAGAGTAATTGCTTATATTTTGTTTTATATTGATTTATTGGGCTTTCCAGGGGATTTGACTTCCGGTCAGAAACTAACCCCCCCAAACAATGTCAGTAAAAGAGCAACACTGTAAGGGAAAATGTTATGGCTAATATAATTGAATCCATACATGTCAGAGATGTGCTAAACATAAGAGGGGAAGTCTACCCTATTGCAAAAATGCCTTTCAAGCCCTGCATACGTAAAGTTAGGCTAACGTTTTAACTCAATACACGTTCTTTGGTTGATGATGGACAGGGTTTAATGTGAGTTTTCCATAGCACGGTAATCAACCATTTTTATAACTTATAATGATAAAATTTAAAAGGTAGTACTGACCTTCAGTGTGGCAGATCGTACCAGGGCAGGGTTGCCACCTTCATTCAGCTGGGTGGAATAATAGGCTACTTTAAATTCGAGGAATTTACATGTATGTAACAATTTTAAAACCTTGGAAAAATTCGGATAGCATTAACAGGGGCGGACTGGTAAATGGGGCAGCTGTGTTAGGGCCCCCCCCCACTTCCGACCGCAGCTATCACATGCCTCCGACACATTCGGGAAAATTAAGGCACCGATATCATTCTTGTTATTTAAAAGTGGCGACGTGCTACTTTTATATCTCTCATTTCTACGCATATCATCTCAATATCGTGGAGTCAAAACACAAAAATATGGTACAATACTTGATTATTTTTTTTTAAATGTAGCTAATTTAAAGTTTATAATGGAATAATATAGATATTGTATAGCGTGTCAGATGTGTTAGAGGTTGGCAGGTCTGCTCCCATCCGCTTTTTTTTTCGGAACGGACCCATTATTTTGAGATGATTAGTACCTGAATGGAAATCCATCTTAGGCCACTTAAAATTAATAAATTGTTTTACATGGCCGCCCGCCTCAATTTTTTGGTGCCGCCTCGATTTTTTTTATATTTTATATTTTTCAAAAAATCCGTTTTTTCACCTCAAAAACTGTGGGTGAAAAATCTTGAATGTCAGCCTCGGATTTTTCAATTTGACGCTTCTCGGACAATGGTTTTTATCGTTTGTCAGATTGTGTGTGGGCCCACGGTATTAAAATCTTGGCAGGGCATCAATATACCGAGTAATATTACCCTTCGCGAGCTATTTGAGAGCTTTTCTAGTTTTAGTATATCTCTGTTGCCGTTCGTCTTTTCGCTAAAAATATAAAATATAAAATCCCCTACTCACCAATATTTTAGAAGTTTGAGTCATGTAAAACAATTTATTAATTTCAAGTGGCCTTAAGGCGAGTAGATCAATGATAAACTTTCATTTATTAAGGGACTCGGTAGTCGTTGATGTATGTAGTCATTCATTCATCCATTTTCCAACCGATTATCAAGTATGCCTACAAAGACTGGTTGATGTAACAATTCTTTAAACGCTATTATAATTTACTCTGGAACCGAAATTCGAAGCAAAATGTTTTGCATGTATTTGTTTGTACACTCTGGATTTTTCGCTTATACAGCTAAAGTGAAGTAGTATGTGAAAATGTGGTGTATATGTGTGTAATACTAAATTTATGTGTAATCTAGGCAGTATATAAAGTATATCCGCTGGGCAGAATCCAGACATGTCTTTTATAGTTTTCTGTCGACGAAAGTCGCTGTTGGATTAAAAAGGGCACTTTGTAGTCTTCAGATAATTTTTATAGTAGGCCAAATAAATTGTGATTATATATTTAACACTGACCACAGGCAGTTAAACAATCAAAACTAAAAGACAGATGCCTGCCATTTAAAAAGCAGCTGATTCGAGATCAAATGAAGGCGAGGGGAAACGGTCAGCCTCCCTCCCTTTCTCTCCCTCCCCTCCCTGTGTGTGATAAACTTGTCAATAAATGGGCACGTTGTTTCTCGAACTTGCTCTTTTGCTTTCAACGTCACACCGACATCATCTCATATTTCTGAAATTCAGTCGTGCAGCTGGCTGTGAAGTTCGTCCTCAGTGCAGGTCAACAGGTGAGATGTTTGACATGTATATATGTATGTTCATGTGTAAAATGTAAGATAGCATATATACACATACACACGTGTGTGTGTGTGTGTGTGTGTGTGTGTGTGTGTGAAATATAATAATATGTACAATAAGATTTAAAAAATGTAAGTTTGTGAAAAGGCTCGTTTTGAGGTAAGCTTGTTTTATGGACCCTTCATAGATGTTGATAAACGAAACATTAATACAGCGAACATAGTTGTCTATTAATATGGAAGTCTAGATTAATAGAAACCAATAATATAGTGGTATTATATTCTGAACAAGAGTTGCTGATAAATAAATTCCCCCTTTTTGTTACTTTTATTGTTTAGTATATGGACCGCTTGTAGTTTGTTTTATAAATTGACTAGTCGTTTATTATACACCCTAAACACCGTAGGTTTCTCTTTTTTCGCATTAACACGCATATTTCTCGGAGTGTCGCTTCAGCACCCGGAAAATGCGGACAGCGCGAATATGCATGGCGAAGATTAGCTGTTATCGTGAATCCCGAGGCGAAGGCGCACCCAGCTGTGACTGGATAACAACTGAGATAAAACTAACCAATAGGAAACTATAATTTTATATTAATATTGATAAATATTTTACCCTTTGTGTAAACTATGGTTTTCGAACATTTAAAACAGAAATTAAAAGAATCTTACGTATGACATGCTTTTAAATTGTCCATCTAGCTGAAACTTAGCTGAAGTTTAAAAAATAATTTATGACAAATTGACTTCTGTTTCTTAAAATACACGGACTAACTTCCTCATATTAATAAATCACGTTGTTTGTGTATTTGCGTTTTTGTTTTGATTTTGGGAGCATATATTAGGTGATGTAGTACATTAAATTCCTATTTCATTTGTACATAAAATGCATGACTTGGGAAGTGCTATGCCTACTGCTACAGCATAATTTTCGAAAAGTATTAAATTGAATAATTAGCATAATTTAATATTCTAAATTGTATTAATTGTTTTAGGTGAGTGTTTAATTGAGAGGAATCTGTGTGTGTGTGTGTGTGTGTGTGTGTACATGAACTTTCTGACCTATTGCTGATGTTGCTTTCATAATGATGACTATCAGTCACGAGTGAAATTCATTCCAGTGAAAAACATAGTTTCATTTGACATTGTTTTTTTATTATTACAGTGAAAACAGTGTCAGCCATGTCTGCTTTCCTGCACCACTGTCCATTCCTGAAGACTGTCTCCCATAGCTCCCTGCGGAGGTCGGGCCTCGGCCTCTTCTCTCTGGCCGACAGGTGCCCAGTCGTCATTCAGCAGGTGGCCACTAATGCCACCCTGGTCCAGAAACCAAAGGACAGTGGTGAGCGTGGCGCCCACACTACACTGCATGCGCAGTGACCTTACTGAAAGGTTGCTAACATTCTTTAATGTCCACAGTGTACTGCAGATCTTTCCATCATTCACCCTGATAATGCTACTAGTTTATTATAGAATAGTAGTAGTTTTAGAATTTTATTGTTTCTTGTACCTATTATTCTTTTAATGGTTCATTTTATATTCATCAGCCCCCCACAAAGGCCCTCAGCGCTCCCTGGCCCAGGCTGCTGGCCAGTTGGCTGTTTCCATGGCAAAAGGCTGCCCCTTTGTGTCCTCCCAGATAGGAGTGGTGCAGGCGAGGCCTGAGGTGCAGGAGGACATCCAGCCCACAGGTGAAACACAAACTCAAGCACTGAACACAGCTGTCAGGCAAGGCGAGGATCACACTTACATGCACCCAAGCGCACAGTGGAGAAGGACAGGGCACGACGGCACCTTGCACGCACCTCAGAGAGATGTTCTGCGGGTCTGTAGCCAGTGCGGTGAGGTGTGAGCATAAACACACACAGCCAGTGGTGTTTTCTCAAGGATTGGCTTTGAAGAGGCAAATTTGATTAAATAAAAAGAACTGGGGGTGAATTCAGGGCAAAGTAGAAAGTCAATGGAGGGTGAATTCAGTTGGGGATGGGCTCAGAGGAGGTGGTGCAGAGTCCTGGTGTGGCTGAAGATGGCTGCCGGTGTCCTCACTCGGTGCCAGGTTCATCTAGAGTGTGGGAGTGTGAGAGAGAGATAAATAACAGCATTTTTAGGGGCTGGCTGGTTGCTATAGCCAGTGAACCAGGCATGAGAATTCTGCTTGTCGCCCTGTTGGCCACTGTCTTTGATGCTGCAGCTCACGCAAGGCTGCCTGTCAACAGACCAGTGCAGCACCAGACACACAACAGAGATAGGTTCCGCATGGGGTTACCATGTGAGGTTCCGCATGGGGTTACCATGTGAGGTTCTCCATGGGGTTGCCATTGGAGGTTCCACATGGGGTTACCATGTGAGGGTCAGTAAGATGTTACTATGTGGGGCTACCATCCACATACAGATCTGTTACTTGTGACAGCCTAAGGCTGGCCAAGGGGGTTAACCTGTAACCTGTTAGCCAAATATGGTGAGCAACACTGTCAGTCAAATCTATTACTGAGTGAGATGTTGTTTATTCTCCACAGTAACTAATCAGAGAAAACCTTGTGTGTGTAGGGGGTATACTGAAATCCCTGCTAAGCAGTTTACAAAACCTGACCCATGACAAGACCACCTCCCACAAGGACAATATGAGTGAGCAATATTGTTTGGTTATATGACTCTTCCTTTAGTTTGCTGTAATGGAAAACACCAGATTTAGCTCATTTTCCTTTAAAGGAGCCAATCAAGTTGCTTGAACATGGAAATTGAAAAAGGATATAATTATGAAATTCTAAAATTCTGCAGTGCCCTCTGGGGTGTGAGACTTTACCATTGTTATGATTACAGTGTTGCTTCACCTTTAAGCACCATTTCATTTTTGTGTACATATTCATTTTTAAAAATGGCACATTGTGATCTCTCCCTGTGCACAGGACGCTCCAGTTTTGATTATGATGCCTTTTTTGAGGAGAAGATTGCTGTGAAGAAGAGAGACCACACTTACCGCATATTCAAGACCGTGAACCGCCGGGTTGACAGCTTCCCCTTTGCTGAAGATTACTCTGTGGCTGGTCATAACGGCGACCTCGTGTCTGTCTGGTGCAGCAATGACTACCTGGGAATGAGCAGCCACCCCCGTGTTCTGGAGGCAATCCGGTAAGAACTGCCATGTTCTAATGAAGGGAACCAATGTTGGGAACTCATGCTGTGTCTTAGACCTACACATTGATTTGTATCAGTAAATGTTGAGCAGCGATACATGTTTGCTGAGACATTCCCTATCAAACCATCCTAGTGACCATATACATATCTGTCCATGTCATGCAGCGGTGCTCTGAACAAGCACGGCGCTGGGGCAGGTGGCACCAGGAACATCTCTGGCACCAGCAACTACCACGTGGAGCTGGAGAAGGAACTGGCCGCACTGCATGGCAAGGATTCTGCATTGGTCTTCTCATCCTGCTTCGTGGCTAATGACTCCACCCTCTTCACACTGACCAAGATGCTGCCAGGTGAGCTTATCAACATAAAGAACATAATTACAGAAAGTTCTTAAATTAATTTAATGAATTGCTTTAAGTTTTTAATGCTTTATCCGTGAACAATTTTTTACTTTTAGTACGTACAGTTAAAGCAAAGTAGTAAATTTAAAGTTCTACATTTAATACATTTGTGACCAATAGCCCCAGTTTTACAATTAAGAACCTGCAGATCATATTTCACAGTCCTGTAATGCATCTAAAAATGAAAGAATAGATGCTTACAGTAATGTGCAAATTCCCAAAAAAATGAATCTCTTACACGATAAAACATATTCTGCTTTATAGAACAGCATTTAAAGTGAAGGGTGTTTACAAACAACTTCCTGCCGAGGTACATTTTATGAAGCCTGCACATCTGCTAACTGCAGGCTGCGAGATCTATTCGGATGCTGGGAACCACGCATCCATGATCCAGGGGCTGCGCAACAGTGGTGCCAAGCGTTTCATCTTCCGCCACAATGACGTTGAGCACCTGCAGGAGCTTCTCAGCCGCTCTGACCCCAAAACACCCAAAATCGTGGCTTTTGAGACGGTGCACTCCATGGACGGTGAGTACTGCTGTGTTAAGCCAATCAGAGTACATGGTGGGAGTGGCTGTGGAATCTAACTGTCTGAAACACACATAACTTGTAAGTTCCTACTAATTATCTAATGGCCTCCGTCTCACAGGAAGTATTTTGTACAACTACTTGGTCCCTATTAACAACTACTCTGTGTGGCCCCAACCACATAGAGAGTAATTGCATGGTGCATGTAACTTGTAACCCTCTATTACCTTACTACTCAATACAACATACGCCACACAGAGAATAATGAGCAAGCTCGCAGTGGGATTTCCCCTCAATGATTTAATTTTACTGAGTGTACTTATGAAGTGCTGTTGCCCTTAGGTGCCATCTGCCCATTGGAGGAGCTGTGTGACGTGGCACATAGCCATGGGGCCTTGACGTTCATTGATGAGGTGCACGCGGTGGGGCTGTATGGAGCCCATGGAGCCGGGATTGGGGAGAGAGATGGTGTTATGGACAAGATGGACATCATCTCTGGCACATTAGGTGAGTCCCGGGAAGGATGAGAGGAGAAAGTATGATGTATTAATGCAGTACTGTCAGCTACACACTGGTCACCAGCACCGTGAACTACGATGGGCCTTGTTAGTGAGTCCCTCTGAAACTTCGTTCAGTGCAACCTGATTTTCATGTTGGTGCATTGATTGTCCAGTGCACGTATGCAAAATGTTTCATGTATATATACATTTCTGGCTGACAGTGGCTACGTAAAGGGGCTGAGTAAGGACAATTCCAGGGGTCCAAAAAAATTTGGGACATAATTGGATTTATGTGGGTTGGGGGCCCAGCTTTCATGGGGCCCAGAGTGTCCAGTGGTACGCCTGCTGATTGAGGTATCATCATTTCTAAGATTATGCAAGATACAAGATATCTTTGTTGTCACTGTACAAATACAATGAGATGACATTTGGATCATCCTGTAGAAGCCTCAATAAAAACCGTACAGCTAAAGAAAATTCACATTATGTAAATAGGCTTATCATTTACATGCTTTCATTATTTTATGGCAGTTGTTGGTTGTGAATTGGCCATTTACTTGAGGTATTATATGGTAAAATTAACAAAAGAATTGTAAGAAGTATTACATAATTATTGTTGAGAATTATCAGTAAAACCAATAATCAAGATTACAGCGTTACATTTTACTTATGTGGACTGAGTACAAAATAATATTCAAACATGTAATGGATGCATTTCCATTAATGCCAAATACAGATATACAGAAATCATGAAAGTGTCAAAATTTAAAGAATGCTAAGTTGTCTCCAAAACAGAGTGTACTTTGGTACAGTTTCTGGATGTGGTTTGGTGGAGCAAACTCTTAGGGATGATTGAATTTGGTCATTTTTGAAAGGTATATATCCTCATAAAACAGCTAGGCTGTAGTGAGGGACTCCTGCTGTGAAAATGGTTTTCCTCGAGCTGTATGCTATGTTTCATCACGGAGACTCAGGCTCTGCCATTCTGCTGCTCCCCTCCCACCCTTATCACAGGCTCCAGAGCTACACTTGTATCAGCCCTAGGTGCACCCTTACCCCTCCGAGCCTGCTTAACCGAGATAGGGGCACCATCCTGTCACAGACAAACCCACAGACTTATCTACCACAACATTAAATACCACAATATTAATTGCTCTAATTTTCATACCTTCATTCACATACCTGTCTTTTTTTTTACCATAACACAAGCATTTAATGAAGGTAAATAAATAGAAAAGGTTACTTAGACCCTTAGCGTCTTATAGATTTGAGATCATAAGGAAATTAAACAATGAGAACAATCTATTTTAACCAGACTAGAGACAGGAGAGCATTAGAATGCTAAGTAAGCAGAGTGATTTAAACAACTGTAATAGACATAAGAACATATGGTAGGTGATTAGGAAGATCAGGCTGCGTGGCCTAGCTTTGCTTAGAACTGTTGATGAACCTGCAACTGTTCATACATTCACATATATACAAGTGCCTCAGTTTGAATGTAAGCGTACAGAATCCTTAGTAAAAGTTAGTTTACCATTAGACATATGCAACACTGCAGTTTATTCAGTGTTATCCAGAGTGTTGATCTTTAGGGTTGATGACATCATCCTGAATCATATTGACTGGAATGTTCTTTTACTCTTTGTAATGATGTTTTTAGATAAGCTGTTGCATAAGGGCCTTTTTCCATCTTTTTCCCAAACATTCCCTGTTGCAGGCAAGGCCTTCGGCTGTGTGGGCGGCTACATTGCCGGTACCGCCGCCCTGGTGGATACCGTGCGTTCCTACGCTGCGGGCTTCATCTTCACCACCTCCCTGCCCCCCATGGTCCTGGCAGGGGCGCTGGAGTCCGTGAGGGTCCTCAGGGCACCCGAGGGCCAAAGGCTGAGGCGGGCGCACCAGAGGAACGTCAAGCACATGCGGCAGCTGCTTCTGGACGCTGGGCTGCCTGTCATCAACTGTCCCAGTCACATCATCCCCATACGTGTGAGAGCCAGAATCCAGAGCCCCTGGATTTAATCATGTATTGCTTGTCACTTTTCTTGTCTGTCGTCATAGAGGTTATATTTGTTTGCTGTTGGTTTTTAAGGCTTACAATCTGAAAAACCTACTTTCATGTTCTACCTTGTGTAAAAGGTGGGCAATGCGGAACAGAACTCTAAGGTTTGTAACATCCTGCTTGAGAGACACCAGATCTATGTGCAAGCCATCAACTACCCAACTGTCCCAAGGGGGGAGGAGTTACTGCGCCTTGCTCCATCCCCCCACCATGACCCAGCAATGATGGAATACTTCATAGGTAAGTGACAGCATAGGTCAAAAACATAATTATTTATAAACTGTTTTTAAACACTGAGTCTGGATGCCTTTCTCAGTCATAGTTCCATGCAACACACTTCCGCAATTATAAGTCTATGAAGCTGCATAACTAGCTAATTGATTCTAGTTTGTACAGTATTGGATTGGGTGAAAACCTTTAAATACAGACAGTGCAAAGCAGTTGGTCTATGGCTGTGCTGTAGCAATTAATAGGAGAGACACGACTATTGTTGTGTGTATACACTCCTGGGCAAAAGATGGGCCACACCACAAATTGCAAAACATTATGTTTCTAATAGTCTCAACAGCAAATAATTGGTCAGGATATGAGCAAGAAAAAAAACAAATTGATAAAGTAACTTAGCTTTAGTCTTGTAGACAGCATTTTATATAGAGAAGTCAATGTTGTACCACTCAAAGATAAGTGGCTTCAAAGAGCTCATGACTGACTGAAATATATTTCCTGGTTAGTTTGTATTTAATGTGAGACATTCTCTATAAAGCTCAAACCAGGCAGTTTTGTGTTTGGGCCAGGAGTGTA